CCCGTCACAACCCCTCTAAACCGCACGCAACGTGCGCACCTGTTCTTGCAAAGAACAAACCACCCCCACCAGTGTTCTTGCGCGACAAGACACAGTGGACAAAAGTGTCCAACCTGTGTAAGGACCAAAAGGTCACTTACACACAGGCGACCAATCTGGGCGAATCTATTAAGATTCAAACCCCGGATTCGTCCGCCTTTAGGGAGCTCACAAAGCTCCTCACACTCAACAAAATACCTTATCACACCTATGCGCTCCCGGAAGAGCGCAAGGTGCGTGCGGTATTACGAGGAGTTCCCCACGAGCTCCCTAACGAGGAGATCCATGCGGATCTCCAATCCCAGGGCTTCAAGGTGGAGGCGGTGCACAAGATGCACAGCCGCGCCGGGAAGGTTTATCCCCTAGCTCTAGTCATCTTGTCCGCCACCTCGCCGTCCTCTAGGGATATTTTTAAGAGGGAATTAACCGTCTGCGGCCTTTCTAAGGTCAAGGTCGAACCCCCTCACCGTCGCGGCACCCCTGGCCAATGCCATCGGTGCCAACTGTATGGGCACGCAGCAGCAAACTGCTCTGCCCAACCTAGGTGCGTAAAGTGCCTAATACCCCACCCGACAAAGGAGTGCTCCCGTACCGAAAGGTCCGCGGACGTAGCCTGCGTACTGTGTGGCCAGGTAGGCCACCCAGCCAATTTCAAAGGCTGCCCACGGGCTCCCAAACCAAAGGCAAAGAGTTCGAAGACGAACCCCCAGCCTAAACAGGTATCCGCTAAACCATCACCGCGGCCCGCGCCGCCGATGTCAAACGGTGCCAATTTCCCCACCCTCCCCAGGTCGGCTCCCGTAGCCGACGCCACACCCCAGGCGGTGTGGGCTTCCGCTCGGGCGGTCCCCAAACCAAGGTCCCGTCCCTTAGAGACCGATGATTCCTTGCATGGCGACCTTCACCTGGTTGTCCACACCATGGCGAAGATCGACCTGCAGGAGCTCAGGGTCCTAGCAGGCAAAATCAGAACAGCCGCGGGTAATACGATGGCTGTTTTGATTGCCCTTGCGGAGCACTCCTCACTGGTAAGTGCACTCGAAAAAAATCACTAGGATTTTTAACGCGAGCACAACCAGCACATACAAATTCAATAATAACAGTGAAATGTCGGTTCTTACCGCAAAAGAAACCGCATCTCATATGTTTCGCGTAGGTATCCCGTACAGACAGCGGCAAACAATGACTCCGTTCGGGTCATCGTTTAACCGTTCCTTTACGGTAGCTATTTATAGCATTAGGGAAACGCCGGTTGCGTTTGCCGCGAAAAGCAGAGCGCAAGCATCATTGCCGTGCATTTCGCGGCAGGCGTTCTCGGCAACTCGAAAAGTACTTTCACCCACCAATAGGGAGATTTCTCCGCGTAGAATCTCAAACTATCTTCCGGTAATGCATGTAATAATACTTGTACAAGTACTATCTACATGTAATACCACTCTTACAGTCGCCAGAAATATAACTTATTGTTATTCACGCTGGCCGACTTATCTTATCGGCATGAGACAAACAATGATTACAGTTAATTGTTGTTTAATCTCATGACCTCCACTCCCTCCTTCCCTCCCCCCTCCTCCACCGGGCGTGTCAAACCCAAGGGATTGTCGCTTGTTTCGTTTAATACGCGAGGGCTTAAAAACAACATATCCGAACTTAGACACTTCCTCCGCAATAGGCAAGTTGATTGTTTGCTCCTTCAGGAGACCTGGCTCAAACCAGGTCACCTCAAGGGGCTCTCAATCCCTAGGTACTCCCTTATCCGAAACGACAGAGCCGCCGATCGCCGGGGGGGCGGCACTGCCATGTATGTTAGGCGCGATTTACATTTCACCCCTCTCACTACACCCCCTCTAACAAATATGGAAGCGAGTGTGTGCAGGCTCGCGATGACGGGACATCAGTCCCTAATCATCGCATCCGCATACATTCCGTCGCGTACCATCCCACTAAAGGCCGACTTTGAGGCACTTTTAAATCTAGGTAGGTCAATTATTATTTTCGGTGACTTTAACGCCAAACATACAGACTGGACTTGCGCAAATCAGAATGCCAACGGCCCATTATTACACAAGATTGTAGAGGAGTTAGGGTTAGACGTCATATCCCCCTTCGCCCCAACCCACTACCCAGACAACCCCAATCACCAACCCGACGTCTTAGATTTCGCAATCATGAAAGACGTATCCCTACGACTCAGTTCGATCGAAACGCTCGACGAACTGGGGTCCGATCATAGACCGGTTTCCCTTGCGTTAGGCCCCCTCACCCCCCACGACACCCCCCACAGTCCCACAAAGAGGCTGTTTACTAACTGGGAAGGTTTTCGCGCGTCCCTCGAGTCCGCACTCGATAACCCCGCCCCTAACTCACCGCTCTCGATCTCTCCGGATTATCTCAACAGTCCGGAGAGAATCGATAGTACAATCGAATCTCTCACTCTTTTGGTGAATGAGAAGGTAAAGGAGAACTCGCGGGAGGTCACGCTACCAGCGCGGAAGCTCCCGCTTGCGACCCGGAACCTTATCAAAGCCAAAAACGCGGCTCTCCGGAGAGCAAAGCTTTATCCAACACCGGAACTTAGGGCAACCGCGAATCGCCTTCAGCGAAATGTTAGGAAACACCTGTCCGACTTGAGAAACGCTCAATGGGGCGAGCTCATGGCGGACATTTCTCCCTCACACACTGCTTACTACAAAGTAGCGAAGGCTCTCCGAAGTGACGCTGTGCCCCACACCCCGCCCCTCGTCCGCCCCGATGGCACCGCTGCCTTCGAGGATGACGAGAAGGCGGAGTGTTTTGCGGACAGTGTGGCCTCGCAGTGCTCGCTAAGTACACAACCGACCGACATGACTCATGTTAGGGCAGTGGAAGAGGAGGTCCGCCGGAAAGCCTCCCTCCCACTTAGGGACCCCCCAGACTACACCTCTAATGACGAGATCAAATCTCTCATCAGAGGCCTAAGGCCCCGCAAGGCCCCGGGCGCAGACGGCATTACCAACAAGGCGTTGATCTACTTCCCCGTGCAAGTGGTCACCCTGTTGACGGTCATATTTAATGCCTGTCTAGAGATTTGCTACTTTCCAGCAGCCTGGAAAGCAGCAATAGTAATAGGCATCCCCAAACCGGGGAAGCCCGCCCACTTACCGAGTAGTCACCGTCCCATTAGCCTCCTCAGCGCTTTGGGCAAACTATTCGAAAAAGTTGTACTCTCTCGCTTGAAAGAGCAACTTTTAAAACCTACCGATCCAATCATCATACCGCAACAGTTTGGCTTTAGAGCCAAACACTCATGCCTGCAACAGGTACAGAGAATCACCGAGTTCATACTCGAAGGATTCCAATTTAACAAGTATAAGACAGTAGCTGTCTTTTTTGACGTTGCAAAAGCCTTTGATAAGGTTTGGCATGACGGGCTAATATACAAACTATATAGGCTAAATCTTCCCGATCGGTTAGTACGGTTAACAGCCTCTTACCTTAGGGACCGCACCTTCCGATATAGGCACGAAGGTACGATGTCGGGTCACCGGGCCTTGAAGGCAGGCGTGCCCCAAGGCTCCGCCCTCTCCCCCCTCCTATACTCATCCTACACCAACGACATACCTATACCTACCGCAGGTGTAGAGTTGGCGTTGTTTGCCGACGACACAACCCTCTATATTAGAGGCAGATGTCTGAAGCATGCCCTCCCTAAGCTACAGACCGCGATTACCCAATTAGGGAACTGGTTCTGTAAGTGGAGGATCGATGTAAACCCGGACAAAAGTTCAGCGGTTTGCTTTGATTCGAAGCGCAGAACCAGGGTAATACCGTACGGAACCCGGCCTTTGCGGCTGCAAGGCACCGCAATCCCGTGGCAACGTACAGTCAAATATTTAGGAGTCACTCTCGACAAGAGTCTTAGCTTCCGGCCTCATGTCAACCGAGTGGTTAGCAAAGCCCGATTCTATCTTAGCCGTCTCAACGCAATGATAGGTAAACAGAGTAGGATGTCCCTACGAAACAAGCGCACAGTCTATAAAGTCTGCATACGACCGGTGTTAACCTACGCATCCCCTACCTTTGCCCACGCGAAACCGGCGATCTTGAAGAATTTACAAATTGTTCAAAATCGCTTCTGTCGCAAAGCCACTGGAGCCCCGTGGTACGTCCGAAACGCGGACCTACACCGGGATCTCCAACTCCCCACCATCCAAACCCACCTAAAAGAGTGCTCGGAACGATTTTTTAAATCTGCAGAAGAGCACTCGAACCCCCTCATCCTATCGGCGTCCGCGTACGACCCTCCCCCACCCCTCCCGTACAGGCCCCGCAGGCCAAGAAACGTCCTAACGGACCCCCCCAACAAACTCACGCGCGACCTCGAGGTCCTTCTGGCCTCAGAGGAGCCAAATGGGCATTGCAACGCGCCTGAGACCCCCCGCCCCCCCGATCCTGAGAGACCTTCAGTCGCTCAGTCCCAAACCGATACGGATGCACATCAGAGTGCATCCGTCCTCTAAGCGCACTATGCAGTAGTATATACTAAGGCAGCGCTGCATCATCCCCTCCTCAGGGGTTGATCGCATCAGATGAAGCCTGAAAGGCCCCTAAGGCCATAGGCATCCCCCACGGGTGTGTTTTAGTCAGTAAGAGTCTGACATAACCCTACAGCCGGCTGTAGGGTATCCATGAGGATTTCACACCCGCTCCCCCGCCTGGGAGGAAACAAAAAAAAAAAAAAAAAAAAATAGCCTCGACCTCTTTCATCACTCTTTCATCTTTCATCTTACACCACTGCACATGCAACAAGCAACAAGCAACAAGCGCACTCAAGCTAAGAAAAGGGATTTCATTGAAGCTGCCAGCCCCATAGGCATCCGCACCCCATCCGCACCGTTTCGAACGGTTACAGGGAAGAGCGCCACAGACGCCGTTCGAAACAATTATACAGTAATAGATCAGATATAAAAGCAGTAACTCACCTCTAACCAATGTCAATATTCCCAGGGGCATCACTAATATCGCAACCAGCAGATCAGTTATGGCCAACGACATCAGAAAGTAGTTTGTCACGTTCTGCAGTCTCCTCTCCAAATATATCGCCAGGCACACCAGTACATTCCCCGCAGCCGTACACACCACTAACAAGAGAGCAACTAGAGCCCACCAATTGTTCACTACAACTTCCTTATTAAAATCCGTTCCATTCTTAGTTCCGTTCCCGTAATCAATAGATATATTGAAATCCTTCAAAGAAAAGTTCTCCGGTACATCCCAATACCATTCATGCTCCACTATATCAGATTCTGGTAACGATGAGAGTGGCTGGAAGAATATGAACTCATGCATTGTGGGCGTGTGTTAAATGCTCTCTTAGTATCATTTTCGTTTGGACGATGTTCATCTTACTTCGTAAATGTGTATTATATTTGAAGGTTCCATGTTGAAACTTTTTTAACTGCGTCCGGTGCGCGTGAACATCTGCAACAAAATAGATGAATATTATTAGATAATAGAATAGTAAGTACCTAACATAATGATAATTAATCACAGTAGCAACAAATTGGTAACTAATAATCAATTGTAATGTAGGTATGTACCTAATTTTAAAAGTTGAAAATTAAAAAAAATAACATTTTGATAGGAACTTAATTAGGTTTTTGTTCGTTCATAATCACACTACGAAGCAGTTTATTAACGAATCTCTGCTAAAATTAACCTTACCCAGAAATAAAATTTTAGTGTGTTTCATTCTACCATGATTTTAAACCTAAACTTAAACTTGAAAACAGTGTATCCTTGTCATTCTTTTCTACAGAATGAAAAGGAGAGATTGATGTATAAGTTAGTTTTACGTTTAGAAAATTATGCCAGAATCAACACCACTATCTATGTAAATTTTATCTAGAACTCTCAGTAGTTCATATTTTAAAATGAAATAAATTCTTTCAGAAGCGTACTTCTATAATACCTACTTCACAGAACAAGAAGTTATTCAAATAACGTAAAGCTATTCGTATATTTTATTTACATGGTGAATTTCACAAAAGCGAGGAGAAACCGAAACCTAAAAGAGAAATAAAAACGTTACTACATATTTGGCTATAAAATGAAGAAACAAGCTTTAGAATTTCATGCAGGTAAAAAAGTTATTTATTTGACGCGGATGCTTGGTTAAAGAGATGTTGTCGATATTTATTTTTTACCCGGCTGCGCAATGCAAGAGCGCGAAGCGCGACGCGCAGACAGGGTTATGTGTTTAACAGTCTATATATGTATGTTTGTTCCTTTGTGGCACACTAGAGACCAAACGCCTGGACCGATTTTGATGATTCATACATCATTCGATTCGTCTCAATCATGGGAGTGCTACTAAAGATATGATAGTAATCAAAATTCAATATGGGCAATATTAGGCGCCATATTGTGACGAAGTAAAAAAAATTAGTTGACAAAATATGTCGAGTGGGGTATCACTGTCTAGATAATCAAAAATCATATTTACGTTCCTAACACCATTTTTCATTTAATATGATTGTTTAGGATCTACAACGCTTTAAAGTTGTATATTAACCACTTACGCTTTTAATTTCAATCTTACATTTGTATGAATCTTTGTTACTCTTTCACCTAAAAAATACTGAATGGATTTTAATGAAACTTAACAGTAATATAGCTCATATATGATAATTACATATATATAATAATTTATGTAGTTATTGAGTTAATTGGCCAATATATAACAATAAGTGTCACATAAGACGGAAAAAAATCTCCCATCTGCGAGCCATTTTGGCCTGCACTGCGAAAACAATAAAAGTTACATGAATGTAATGTAGAGTGAAAATGTATCTCTTAAATAGTTCAAAAAAAAAGTCCGTGACACCATATATCTATTTTTAATGTGTAAGTCATTAGAGCTAAAATAGTGAATCAAAACTAAAATATTATTTGATATCTATTTCCAAAATGCACATTTTGCATTAACAAATCATTTTTTATCAAAACAAATACTTTTATCGCTTTTGATATTTAAAGACGATAAACTTTGCTTTTTACACTATGTCATTTCGACAAATATTTAAGAAGTTACAACGATGACAAGTGATAGCGCGGTGTACTATGTAAAAGAAAAAAAAGGGCTATTCGCAGTATCTGATCCTATACGAAGCACTAACAATAAAACTGTGATACAGTTCCTTCTTATTAAATGATGAAAAATATATTATCATAACAGGTATTTATGATTATTGAATTTTAATGAAAAACTCTGAATTTTACTGTTTTTCATTTTTTTAACGATATTACTTAATGTTACAAAAAAGGTTTACTTAATATAATGACAAATAACCCATTTCTCGCTAGTAAGTACATACTTATTGGAATCCCTATATTATTAATCAGCTCGCGATAATATTGGTTTTGTAATAATTCTACAAAATTCAAAGTAAATAATGTAGATTTCTATAGGTAAATCACCCCTTTCATCACCCTACGCCTATAAGTATTGCGATGTTGTAGCTAAGAACCAAGTTCCCATCTACTTCTATATGGGAATTCATTATATTCGATTTAGCTATTAGGGCACGGAAGCGCAACAAACAAACTCACTTTCACATCTATAATATTATATTATACTTACTAGTGATCCACCCGGGCATTGTACGGGCGAAATTTATTTATCGGGATGAAATATAGCCTATGTCACTCGGACAAAATGTATTTAAATAAAGAAAAATGTACTTATAAATAATGTAGCTACCTTATGATCAATTAATATTTGAAACCGGTTCAGTAGTTTGACAGATTATTTGTTACAAACATACAAATCTTGCCTCTTTATAATATTATCTTTATAGTATAGATAGTTAGGATATGATAAGTATTTAATTGATGAAAAAGATTTAAAAATAAAGTAAGTAATAGGTTTATTTGATTATATTTGTAAAAGTTACTTAGCATTTGTGCTTAACAGTGATACGTTATTCGGTATTTTTGTAACAAAAAAAATTTGGATAATAATTGCCATGATTGCCCTACTGGGAGTACTCTTCATTCAAGCTTTACACTACCAATAAAAAAGGGTCGATCACAAATCTTTGACCTGTTATATGTGAACGCTTTAAAAGAAAACTACAAAGAGAACTATAAATTGATAATAAATGAGATTGCTATGGTGCTCTACCTAACGTTATGAAAATTTTATTATGCGCCTTTAGTTTAATCAAATATTATAAACTTTGCTTTGGTGATTGCATAATTATTAAATTTAGTGATCTAAGGCAGTTGCCACCATTGTCCAAAACAACAAACGGGAATTACTGCTTTCTTCAACCTGCGACATAAACGTCATTCATTGGTATTGTATGTGATAGGGTGATTAAAAACACTTGAAGTTAACTTCTGGCATCTACATATTGGGTTTCTGTGAATTATGTAGGTATATCAAATTATGAGACTAGGGACTGACACTGCATTTGTGTATATCACAATCTTAGACGTCCGGCCTTGACATGACAATGCAGGCACTGCCAATTTTAAATAATCGTCGAATAAAAGTAAATGAATTTTATATTTACTGCTAAACTATAAAAAAAACATAAACAAAAGATGACTTTTTGAGTAAGTGCTAGTTTACTATAAAATTTACATACATTAGAGATATTTATGTAACGACTTGATTTAACTTCATATATTTTTGCGAAAATTGAGGCCCATCTGTAGCCTTGACCCCGCTGGTAAAGTCTCTATATGTCTTAATAAATCAATCTTCGGTCGGTCGATCTCGGTCGAATCGGTCTAAACCGACGTACTTAATAATTCCCTTACTGAAGTAACAAGACTACGGTATAAACCGTCTTAAAATACTAACTAACTAAAAAGTGTGAAATAAAAAAGGTAAATTTAAAAAATCAAAAAACCCGACTGCTTAATTATACTTCAAATAAAAACTGAAAAGAAAAAAAGCAAGCCCAGTAGTCTATAATTCTGTTAATAAGGAACAAAGCTACTTTGACAGTCGGGACCTACTGTTGAAAAATATTATGTATTCTTGAATATCTAATGGGTCCCGACTGTTAAAGTAGCTTTGTTCCTTATTAACAGAATTATAGACTACTGGGCTTGTTTTTTTCTTTTCAGTTTTTATTTGAAGTATAATTAAGCAGTCGGGTTTTTTGATTTTTTAAATTTACCTTTTTTGTTTCCTTTCTTTTCGTTTCATTCAATTACAATACATTTTTAATATTAAAGTGATTTGAAGTTTAGAATAATATAAGATGATCAAATTGATATTTGTATATATTAAATTGACGACCACCGTGGCCAAGTGGTTTGTACGCCGGGTTTCTGGTGTCGCCGACTCGAGAGGTGTCGGGTTTGAATCCCGGTGGGGGCAGATGTTTGTGTGATGAATACTAGCATTTGTACTTCAGTCATGGATGTTTCATATGTATTTCTATATAAATGTATTCTATCCGTTACCCTGGCATCCCATAACAACAAGCCTTACAGTGCTTACTTTGGGGCTAGGCTAATTGGTGTGAATGTAAGAAATATTTATATTTACTCGTATATCGATAATGACCAACCAAAAGCTCTAAATTATGATTTTGAGATAATTGTTATATGGTAGAATATTATTTATATTTTATATTTATAAGGTAATCATTAATAAGGTTCCATTGAAAGCTTTTAGGTACATAATCCTCAAAGGTGACAACTAGACATTTGTCCACAATTACATTAAGAAACTACGCTTTTCGTCGAGAGAATGTAGTTACGGAACTTTCACAATCTCGCTTGCCGTTAAAAGCTCCTGCATTATTTAGTTTGCAAGTTTTTGGTCCGCATCAGTGTGTTAGTGTTCGGATCTCTCGCACGTAACAACTACATTTAGGACGTTTTGACACTTTGTTAGTTCGAAATAAAATTTTGGCATTCTACCAAACCCTTGTTAAGGGGTTGACTGGGGTCTCTTATTGATTGGTAAGTTTATAAGCCTCTAGTGATGGCTTTTAAAAATAACTTGCATATTTGGGTCTGTACCCAAAATCAGAGTTAAAAATTAAAGATGTCGAGAGCTTTGAGGTATTAGCCTCCCACATCTACATCTTAACAATGTTGGTGTAACTAGTCTAGAACGTAAAATAGAGAAAATTAGTTTTTTTTAATTATTTAAGAGGGTTACATATTGCTAGAGTCTTTTAAAATGGCTTTATGCGAAAAATGTCGGAACTCCATAATCCGAACTTTTGGCAATCATCAAAAAGTGATTAAAAATATAAATTACTTATCATAACTTTTTCGTTTATAACGCTAATAAATGCTCAAATTTCCACGAAAATTTCTCTCATTATAATATAAATGCGCGCAGAGCTTCAATTTGAATGTTAATTTGGAGTTGCATCCCGAAAATAAATAATTAAATCGGCTTAGTGCGAATCGGACTCGCGAACGAAGGGTTGCCCATTACCCATACA